TTATTTATTTATTTATTTATTTATTTATTTATTTATTTATTTATTTATTTATTTATTTATTTATTGCATTTATATGCCGCCCATCTAGACATAGTCTACTCTGGGCGGCTCACAATTTTGTGTAGCTTCAGTGCTCTCATACGTTTTACCACATGCCAGCAGCTTCTGGTGCATGTGTGTTTTTTGAAATCTGAAATGCAGTGGTAACTATTTTTGGGTTTGGGCAATTGTAACTAATTACTTTCCAAATATGACCTTCTAAACTCTGCATCGCACACCAGAGGGATGTGACTTTAAGTTAAGATGGGCCCCAGGTCTTTTTCCGCCATTCCCCAAAGACTATTTTACTCCAACCCCGCTCTTTAATTTGAATGCCAACCTTGATTCTAAAAGCCTGTCTGAAAACGAACAGTGAACTCCTCCTTCTTTATCCTGAGGGAAAAACTCACCTCCCAAGCGAAAACACAGCCACGAAAAAGATGGCCCAGAAGAAGGCATCCGAGTCGTACTTGGTGTTCAAGAGGTCAATCAGACGTCCCATGTAATAAGGGATGAGGGTCTCGCCTGCAGACAGAGCACCGAGTAAGAGAGAGAGAGAGAGAGGACATAGAAGCAGCCTAGCGAGGCTCTGACAATTCGGTGTGGAATTTTGAAAAAGTCAAACTCGTAAATGGCTGAAATCCTGTTAGTTACTCCCACCAGTTTATGGCCAGCGGCACAACTTTCAACTAAGGCCGTAATTCAGGCAGGCCATCGAACTTTGCACCAACATTGCTGAAATTTAAAAGGTACCTAAATCTAAAGATCATACTGGCAGATGTTAGGAAAATAAATAGCAACACCTCCCAGCCCTATTCACTTTAGCTAAAAGCATAAACTTTCTTAATCGTTTTCCTTTTTTGACTTGGTGGGGGTTCGCACCTATGCCTCAGAGCATGGAGTGGAGATGGGGGTCACTTGGCACAAGGAACCCAAATTGCTCGTTATGTTATGCCTTAGCTTTGAGCAGCAAATCGCTCCAAGTTAAGAAGATGGGCTAAGCATTTCTTCTCATACACAAATTGCGTGAGACCTGGTGAGCAATCGGAAACATCTACTCTGACTTTTTAACTTGTGGTAATTCACTGCTGAAGTTTATGCCGCCAGTGCTATGCTGGCGGAAACATGCGACAGGATTCCAGTCAATATTATATATCTCTTATGGTCCCTCCCACCAGATAGAGCATTAGAGAGAAAAACAAACTGAAGCCATGCAATGATCATAGGCTTTAAAATTTCACCAAAAAAATAAAATGAGCAGGGAGTGCGGGTGGGGTGTGGGGTGGAAGATGAGTGTGAACAGACACAGAGGCATTTGAGTCATGCTAAGAGGTGATGGGATTAGCAGGTACCCAGAACAGAGGCACCTTGGTGCTGGCACTCCAAATTTGGAAGTGCCTTGCAGAAAAAATCCAGTAAACTTGAAAGGGGTGAAATTCTTAAGAGGACAGGGCCCGAACAGATGACCTGAGATCACTGCTACCAGTCTGCCAAAAGTCTGCCAAAAGTCTGGCATCAAAACAGGTAGCCAGCTTAAGTCGCCTTCCATCTTTCCGAGGTCAGTAAAATGAGTGCCAAGCTTGCGGGGGGGGGGCACAAAATGCTCCTTGCATAATTATGTTGTAAACCACCCAGGGAGTGCTCTAGTGCTATGGGTGGTATATGTTGGAACAACAACAACAACAACAACAACAACAACAACAACAACAACAACAACAACAACAACAACAACAACAACATTGCAATTCCAGGAGATACAAGAGCTGAAAATAAAGAATTGGAAAAACTAACAAAGTACAGAGACCTGGAAATCAAAACATCTTGTCTCTGGAAGAAACACACTTCAGTGGTTCCTGTAGTCATTGGGGCTTTGGGAACAATATAAGATATTTCACCCAGTACTATAAGCAGTTGGAGAGCTCAGAAATCACACCATCAGTGCAACAAAAAGTGCATTGCAAGTTAATTAGGGCTCATAGAAGAGCTCTCACAGTAAAGACTGTACAGAATAGAGAAATAAGGAAAATAAGCTCTTTTGTCCCAACACAATAGCTATAGGCCTGTCTGCAGGGATTTGGATTTCTAACAACCTTGACTTATCTGTTCACAGACAAGAGATTCTCCATTCCTAACTCTCTCTTCTGTGGCCCACTAGGAGGCAACTGTGGCCTTCCATAACTATCATCACTACTAGCAAGCTTAGACTGCTGGATAATTCAGTTGTTTAGGTCTCAGGCTGCTGAGCCAGAGGTTGGATTCCTTGCTGTGTTTCCTTGGCAGGGGCTGGACTTGATGATCCTTCCAGCTCTGCACTTCTAAGATGATGATGATGATGATGATGATGATGATGATGATGATAAACTGGTAACATGCAATTCATTCAAATCCATAGTGCCAATGTGAGGATTTGTTAGGAAGTCATGGCAAGAAGGAGGAGAAGGAGAGGCAGATGGCAAATTCCCAGAATCCACCAACCAGTATGGCCGGTGGCCACAGTAGTGGAGGAATTCTGATACATACTGTATGAGAACGGTGGAAGGCAGTAGGGAAAGAGGAACACCAAATACAAGATGGGCTGACTCCTGAAAGGAAGCCATGGGATTGAATTTATAAAAGGTGAGCGGGGCAGGTGAGGACCGGACCTTTTGGAGATCCCTCTTTCATAAGGTAGCCATAAGTCAGAAATGACAGCACATGACAACAACAACAACAACAATAACAACAACAACAACAACAACAACAACAACAACAACACACGCTTGCACATGGAGGCCACTCACCGACCACAGCCAGAGTGAGAAAAAGGAAGGCCCCAGCGATGTAGGGAGCATCTGAGCGAAAAAGCTTCACCACCTTCCACAGGGTCGCCGTGTCCCCCTTTTTTGACCCCCTTGCGCCATTCCCTTGTCCAAGAACCTGCCAGACGAGGAGGGCCAGCCCCACGGCCCCATAGCTCAGCAGCAGCCAGGCCCAAGGGGCTGAAGACAGGAGGAGAGGGGGGTCTCCAAACCAGTGCCCCACGGCCAGGTAGGAGGGGGGCAGGAGACTCACGGCGGCCACGGCCACGGAGGCGAGGTGGGAGGGACGACCCAGAGAGAGCAGCCCCCAGACCCCCAAAAGCACCAACAGGCGCACAGCGGCCTCCAGCCAGGCCGCCGGGACCCCCCACTGAGCCAGGGAGGGCCGCCCCAGATCCAGCAAGGAGAGCAGGAGGGCATCGCAGAGGAACAGAAGGGCAGCCAGGCGCAAGCCACGGGGCAGCATCGTAGTGGCAGAGCCTGTGGGGTGAAAAAAAGGGTGGAATGATGGGTTACATTATTGTGAAGAGGTTTAGCGCACATTTTTCTTGCCGTAAAGCAAAACTTTCTGCTCCCTCATGACCAGCTGCCTCTTCTGACCCCCATTTACTGGGGGATGGAGGCCCTCAAGGGATGTAAGTGAAAACCACACCCTGGAAAGCTAGCTAGCCTTGGGCAGGGGAGGGGGGTTGGCATTGTGCCCCATCTTGCCCTATAAGTCAGTGCAGTGGTCTTGGGAAAAATCTCCCTCATCTTTCTGAGTTTCCATCTGTAAAATGGGCGCAAGATGCCCGGCTAGAACCGCCAGTATCCTGTGTGTGACTCATGACCATTCAGTTCTACTGAGTTTACTCCAGAGGTGCTGGGTGGTAGCTTTTCCAACCAGTTCAGCTGGGGATAATGGGCAATGGAGTCCTAAACACCTTGAGGGCGCTACAGGGGAGGAGACCCGGCAGGAATAATGCCCACTGAAATCAATGGGATTTCAGATTTTTAGCCTGCACAGCTGCCTAGGGAATTCTGGGAACTATAGTCCAAAAAGACAAAACTTCACACCAGTAGCCTACAAACCTCTGCATACCTGCTTCAGAGTAAGCCCCACTGAACAGGAGGGCTCTTACTTCTCTGAATTTACTCGTCCCGGCTTGTACGGTGGAACCGTGGTAGAAAAGCCTGCCTTTTTGGAAATTTATTAAGACTATTTCTAGAAATAAATATTTTTGCCACTTTTTACCAGATTTCTTACCACCACCCACCCCCTCCCAAACTGATCCGCGATCCAACCCGGGTCCCCCTTTACCTTCAGTCCAGACCCTCCGATTAA